GAGGATAAGGTGACAAAGGGAGAAGGCTGGCTAGAAGAGGGGGAGAAGCTTGCTCGTGGAGAAGGAGAAGGGGAGAAGCTAGTGTATGAGAATTGAAAGGGGCAGAAGGGAGAAGGTGGTGGAGAAGGAGGAGGCGGGAAAAAGCTTGCTCGTTTGAGAAATGAGGGGGGAGAAGCTGCGTTCCGGAGTAATGAGGAGGGGAGAAGCGAAGAAGCTGTTGGAGAGTGTGAGGAGCGGCGGAGAAGGGAGAAAGGTTGGTGCCGAGAAGGAGAATTTAGGGGAGGAAAAAGAAGCTGGTGCGAGAGAAAGGAGGAGAGCTTGTTTAGACGAAGGAGGAAGGCGGGAGAAGGGAGAAAGGTGTCGGAAAGGAGCGGGAGAATGACTGTGATGGAGAAGGAGGAGCGTGGAAGAGGGCTGGTGGAGAGGGAAGAAGGGGAGAAGGAGGAGAAGAAGGGACGCTGGTGGAGGAAGAGGGAGATAATTAAGGCTTGGTGTCGAGAAATGAGGAAAAGAAGAAGGAGAAGCCTGGTGGGAGAAGGAGAAAAGGCAGAAGCGGAGAAAGGAGAAGGAGAAGCTGCGATGGAGAAGGAGCGGGCGCGCCGAGAAGTAGTGGAGAAGGAGGTGAAGGAAGAAAGGAGAGAAGGCCGAAAGGTGGTGGCAGAAAGAGCGACGGGGAGAGCTGTGGAGAAGGAGGTGGGGGAGAGCTGCGTGGAGAATGAGGAAGGGCGAGCAAGGAGAAGCTGGTGGAGGAGGAGGAGGGAGGAAGCTGGCTGGCAGAAGGGAGGAAGGGGAGAAGCTGGTTGGAGAAGGAGGAGGGCGGAAAAGCTGGTGGAGAATGGAGCGAAGGGAGAAGAGGAGAACGCTGCGTTGGAGGAGGGAGGCGGAGAAGCTGGTGGAGAAGGAGGAAAGCGGCGATATCACAGACTCAAGCATACAACCAACTGAGCCTGAACTGATTATTACCACATCCTTGATACGTTAAAGCCTAACTGCCTTCCGCATATGGGCGTAGTTGATTGTAGCGAGGCGTGGAAAGCGTAACGAATGGTGTTCTATATAGGGTTTTATAAACCGGAAGCTCTATGACAGTGAAAGCCTCTCATCAGAACGGAACACCTATGCTGAGCCAGATAAAAATCAGACTAGGTTAAATTAATAACCAAATTTGTTATTATCTACTCCTTGATAAAATGTTCATATTAACCGGTGGGTGTTCACATACAATGGTTCCTGGTGCGGCGTCGGCGGTCGGTGTTGTATACATATAGACTGTCGGCTAGCTTCCAGGTTTGTGCTTGCGATAATTGGACCGGTCACAATAATCTGGCTGTGTCAAACCACTGAACCATACGGAACACAGCAGAATCATTCTTTGAGGAGTCGGACTGGTTCACTGTCTTTACATTTTTTTTCTCCTAGAGTTTTATAATTCTCATATTTTGCCTTTCTTTTCAGTATTTTGTTTTACAGTTCCTATAGATATCCAAAGTCACTAAGCCCAAGTTGGCCCTTGACTTTGAACGTGAGGAACCTTTCAAAGTTTTTCAATTTTCGCGCCATTGTTAGTCGCTTTCCTTTTGGCAGCGCCTATAATTTCTCGAATTTGCATACGCAGGACTGAACTGAAAATAAACTCACATCTTTACAAACGGCGCAGATCTTAGGCTATTTATTTACACTATTATTAACAAGCTACTGTGTTAACAAAACTTGGCATTCCACACCTCTGAGTTGATGCGGGAGGTGGCAGAGAGGAGTGTGAGTGGTGACAGCTGCACCGTCTATTATACCTGTTGTTAATTGTAATGATCAACACAGTCAGAAGGAAAAGACATTCAACCACTGTGTGAAAACCACTGATTTGCATGGGGAGGGGGTTGTGCTTTCTTTGGCTGTCGGGTGTGCATTATGAGTGTTCACTCCTTTGGGCCAAATCCTTGGCGGTGATTTTTGCTATTGATGAAATGAGGGCCATGGGACGCAGAAAAGGTGGTCACTGTTTCAGAAAGCAGTCTGCAGGGGTCGTGCACTGATGCCAAATGGATCTATTTACTATTAATACATAACAGTATAGGAGAAAAATTACAGTTATATATAACGTTATGTATATAGATCAGCTGAACTGGGCTACTACCGCACATAATAATTGTAGCAGTGTGTGCTGTGTGTGTGTGTGTATGCAGTGTCCGTCAGCGCGTCGCGGATGCTGGCGTATTGCGGTGCTGCGTCTGTTACACTCACCCAATCCTGCCACTCCCGTTCTTCCCCTTCCGCCTCTCCACCAGCTATCTACCCCCTCCTCCTTTCTCACAACTTCTTCCTTTCCCAATCCTCCTTCCACCAGCTTCCCTTCTCCCCCTCCTTCTACCCTTTCCTTCCTTTCTCACCAGGCTTCTCCCCCTCCTCCTTCTCCACCAGCTTCTCCCTTCTCCCCCTCCTCCTCCACCTCAGCTCCCTTCTCCCCCTCCTTTCTTCCCCTTCCTCCTTTTACTTCCACTAGCTTCTCCCCCTCCTCCTTCTCCACCAGCCTGTTCCTCCTCCTTCTCACCACCTTCTCTCTTCTCCCCTTCCTCCTTCTCCACCCAGCTATCTCCCCATCCGCCTTCTCCACCAGCTTCTCCATCCTCACATAATTCCTCCTCCTTCTCCACCACCTTCTCCATTCTCACATAATTCCTCCTTCTCCACATCCTCTCCCTTCTCCCCTTTCCTCCTTCTCCACCAGCTTCTCCTTCCTCCCCTTCCTTATTTCTCCACCACCTTCTCCCCCACCTCCGTTCGTCCACCAGCCTTCTCCCCTCCTCCTTCTTCCACCACCTTCTCCCTTCTCCCCCCACTTTCTCCCTTCTTCCTTCTCCACCACCTTTCTCCCCCTCCTCCACCACCTTCTCTCTTCTCCCTCTTCTTCCTCCACAGCATCTTTCCCTTCTCCCCTTCCTCATTCTCCACCAAGCTTCTCCACCATAAACTTTCTCCCTCTTTCCCCCTTCTTTCCTTTCTCCCCCTCTTTCTCCACCAGCCTCTCTTCCCCTCCTCCTTCTCCACCATGCTTCTCCCCCTCCTCCACACACCTTCTTCCTTCTTCCCGCTTCCTTCCTTCCACAGCTTTCTCCCTTCTCCCTTCCTCCTTTCGTCCACAGCTTCTCCCCCTCCTCCTTTCTCCACCAGCTTCTCCCTTCATCCCCCTCTCCCTCCCACCAGCTCCATTTTTCTCCCTCCTTCCCCTAATTCCTCCTATTCTCACCCAGCTTCTCCCTCCTCCTTCTCCCCCTTCCTTTTTCCCCTTTGCCTTCTTCTCACCAGCTTTCTCCCCTTCCTCCTCCACCAGTCTTCTCCCCCTCCTCCACCACCTTCTTTCCTTCTCCCCTTCTCCTCCACCAGCTTCTCCCTTTCTCCCTCTCCTCCTTCTCCACAACTGAGATCTCCCCTCCTCCTTCTCCACCAGCTTCTCCCTTTCTCCCCTCCTTTTCCCCCTACCTTCTCTTCCTTCTCCTTCTTCCACCAGCTTCTCCCCCTCCTCCTTTCCACCAGCTTCTACCCTCCTCCTTCTCCACCACCTTCTCCCTTCCCCCCCTTCCTGCCTTCTCCACCAGCTTCTTACCCCCTCCGCCTTCTCACCAGCCCTTCTTCCTTTCTCCCCTATATTTCCTCCTTCTCCCACCACCTTCTCCCTTCTCCCCTTCCTCCTTCTCCACCAGCTTCTCCCTTCTGCCCTTCCTTTCCCACTCCTTCTCTCCTTCCTTCTTCTCCACCAGCATTCTC